GAGTTAGTTCCGAATCATAGCCACCCTGAATAGCTTTTACACGGAGCGACTGGTGGGCTTGAACTGTTGACCTTTCAGTTCAAATGGCTTTGCAGTCTGGCGCATTAACCCACAGCACCACAACAGGACTCTACTCCTTTATTTGTTTACAAGATTGTAATTATAAGGCCATAGTCCCGGTTTGGCGCTATGGAATAAGCAGTGGACCACCAGTCCGTATGAACCACAAGGTCAGAAGTTCAAACACACAAGTTGCTCTTGGAAACCCTATACAGGCTCGCTGAGTTGGTACTGACTCGAAGGCACTTAACAACAACAACAATTGTGAGGCCAGGTGATTTTGGCATCCTTCTTTGTACTTTTTACATCGTTTGAGCTTATTTTCCAAAATAATGAGTCGGTCTCAAAGAAAAAACTAAAGGACTCACAGCCCACAAAGAATTAAAGGACTCACAGCCCACAAGAACCTCAGCTTCTTCTAGTCTGATACCAGATGGTGCCCAGCTACCACTGCTGACCATTCGAATCAGGGACATAATAAAAGGTCCTAGATAGAATGAGATCTGAATGTAGAACAAAACTAGAGAAACCAAGCATATCGCCCTAAGGTACCCTTTGAACTTGGAACTGAAGCTACTAGAGGTCACCTTTCAGACAAATAATAGATTGGCTTACAAAATAAACAATATCACCCATATGTATTGTGCTCCTTAAACAATCAACTCTGTGAAACCAGTCAATATTTACCCAAAAACAAAGATGAGAATGTGAGAGGAAGGGAAGGTAAGTCAGTGCAAACAAAACAGACTAGAAATAATGAGAATGTTGACAATAACAATTTATATAAAACTTGTTCAATGAGAACCTAATTTACTGCATACACTTACACCTGTTATTGTTGTTGTTAAATGCCGCTGAGTCATCTCCAGCCCATAGTGACCCTGTGTAGGGTTTCCGAGGAGCTGCTGGTGAGCTTGAACTGCTGACCTTGTGGATCAAACCAACTATGCAGCCCAGTGCATTAATCCACAGCACCACACCAGGACTCCAGGACACTCACCTGAAATCCAATAAAATGTTTCTAAAATAAAATAATGGGTCAGTATCTTTCAGACACACACAAAAGAAGCCAAATACCTAGCCAGGGGACTTCTTGGTGTAGTGCTGTAGGAGCAGCACCAGACTTCGAACCATAAGGTTGGCAGTTCAAATCCACCAGCTGCTCCTTGGAAACCCTATACAAGGTCACAATGAGTAAGAACCAACTTGATGGCACTTAGCAACATGAGCTCTAAATGGAATCTGATGCTGTTTCATGAAAAATTGTCAAGTTCCTATATAGTTGACCAAAGAAATATGTGGGAAATAACCATGGAGCATTATATACAAAAAGGAGCTCTGGTAGCATAGTGGTTACGAATCAGGCTGCTAACCTCAAGGTCGGCAGTTCGAAACTACCAGCTGTTCTGCGGAAGAAAGATGAGGCTTTCTGCTCCTGTAAAGATTTGCAGCCTCGGAAACCCTGTACAGGGTTGCTATGAGTCGGAACTGACTCCACAGTACTTAACAACAACAACAACCTTATATACAAAAGAACAATTCTCTGTTTCTCTTATTGTCTACACTGCCTTGGTGAGGAAATAGCCCAAATAAAGGGACCTTCAATAGTGCTGGACCTACTACGCAGTTTGTATATTAGACCTTTTATTTCATTTCCAAATATTTAATTTCTGGGTCTAGTTCTCTGTTAATGAATACCAATGCTGGATCTTCAAAGATATGTTTTACTTTATTTCTTTTTTTACACATTTTTTTTTCTTTCTTTTCCTCTTCTTTATTTTGCTTTGTCTTTTAAAGAAAATGATGCAGCAGAGTTAGGTGGAAAAGTCTGAGTTTGGTGTATGACTTTTGAGATATTAATACTCAGACAAAAAGCTACTATGTCGCTTGTTGATAATAAACTATTTGCATTATAGATTTTTTCTTTTTTTTTTTTGTCTTATTTTTATAAAGACAGAGCTGCCGAACTTCAGTGGATTGCTGACTCATCAGGCATCTGGAAACTGGACTTCAATCTTTTAGTGGGTAAAGAATGAATCGAAAAGGGAAGATAGACATACATTTATCCTTCAGACAGCAAAGGTTCTGTTGGTCTCCCCTCCCCATGGCTGTGGTGTGTCCATAGGATCCTGTGCGAGTTCCCTCACTCTGATGGGGAGGAACAGGTCCAGCCCTGGAGGAGCTCCCAGTGGGAAGGGGAGGCTAAGTCCCGTCTTAGTTTTCATTTCTTTACAACTAAATGTCCAGTCCTCAAATCAAATGATGGAGTTCTCAGGAGGAAGTTTCTCAAAGCCAAATCTGGGCACCAGGTGGCACTAGAACTTCAGCTGCCTAAAAGTTCTGGGGGTAGAAAGTTTAAGAATACTAATGTCTCTCTCGATACACAGAAATATTATTTATGAGCCCCCTTCTTCCCCTAAAATAACGATCTTAATTAACTGCTACTGTAATACAAAAAAAAAAAAAAAAAAAGCGCGTTCGGATCCGGTCTGACCTTGACAAGCTGTGTTGACTGGGTGGATCACGTACCCTCTCTGGGTCTGTTTCCTAGATAGGGCAGTGCATAATAGGGCAGTCAATCACCTGAAGACCATTTCCAGCATTCATTACGTCTCTACCCTGCAGGATGAGGTGTGAACCCCACATACAGATTAGAAACCCCCAGATTCTAATGGGATGTATGAGAAGTGAGAGGCAGGTGACTCACCTTCCCAGGAGATAAACCCGTCCTTAAGCACTGGACCAAATGATGACTGATCCCACAATCCCTGAGCAAAGAATTCAGTGGAGGAGCTTGTGAAAATACATCTTCTCTGGCCCTGGAGATCTTTGTTCTATGGTTTTGAAGGGAGGCCCTGGAATTTGTATCTTCCAGGAATCTTGGTGTGACACTGTAGGATAAAGCACTGGACCACAAGACTAGTTTGAACCTCAAGGTCAGTGGTTCAAACTTATCAGCTGCTCCTTGGAAAGCCTACATAGGCTTGAGTCCAAAGCAAGTCAACAGCACTCAACAACTCTTTCCTGGTGAGTCCATAGACCAGGCAAGCTCGGGAACATCCGAAGACTAAATCACCTCTCCTATCCTGCAATACCTGGAGTCTTGGTGTGGTGCTAAGGTGAATGCGTTGAACTGCAAAGTCAGTTTGAACCACAAGGTTGGTGGTTCAAGCTCACCAGCTGCTCCTTGGAAACTCTATTATATAGGGTTGGACTCAATGGTACTTAACAACACCAACAACAATCCCGCAACACCTAAGAATCACTGAGGGTGGTAGTGGTGTTTTAAAGTACCATTCCTCCCAGTTCCACCCCCCATTCACGAAGCCTCTCCCAGTTTATGTGAATCCTTAGGGTCTAATCTCACTCAGGGGTGTAACTTTTCAGCAAGACTCCTGGGCTCCAGAAAATTGCTGTTGCTGTGAAGTTGAGTCAGTTCCGACTTATAGGGTTTCCAAGGAGCAGCTGGTGGGTTTGAATTGGTGACCTTATGGTTCTCAATCCAGTGCTGATCCTACAGCATCACACCAGGAGGCCACTACTGTAGTCCTAACACCTCAAAAGTAAAATTTCCCCTCTAACTCACACTTACTACAACCTACTCTTGCAATCAGAACCAAGTCAAGGCATGTAACAACAACAACTCTTGCAACCAAGAATGGTGGAGTGAGTAAACACTTAGTTAACTAAATGGTCTGTGGTTGGAACCTCACCAGCAGCTCTGTAGGAGAAAGATGTGGCAAGTCAGCTCCCTAAAGATGCTCAAAAAAATAAACCCACTGCCATGGAGTTGATTCAGACCATAGCACTCTTGTATACGGTTTCCAAGGCAGCAAATCTTTACAGAGCATAGTCTCATCTGTCTCTTCAGGAGCAGCTGGTGGATTTGAACTGCCCACCCCGTGACTAGTAGTCCAGTGCTTATACTACAGCGCCAACAGGGTTCCTCTGAAACCCTGTCGGGCAGTTCTTCTCTGTCCTATAGGGTCACTATGAGTCACTGCACAGCAGTGAAGTTTTGTTTTGGGTGTTCTACTGCTGGTAGCGTAGTGGTTACAAATCGGGCTGCTAAACTCACGGGTCAGCAGTTCGAAACTACCAGCTGTTCCACGGGAGAAGGATGAGGCTTTCTGCTCCCGTAGAGATTTACAGCCTCTGAAACCCTATACAAGGCCGCTGCGAGTCGGAAACCATTCCATGGCACATAACAACAACAGTTGCAATTTATGTCTCTCCCCCACTCCACTGCCTTTTCCTGAGGTTTTTATTACACAAGAAATTTAATCCAAGTACAGATGGAACCATTCCCCACCCATACCTGACCAAGGGCTAAGTGCTTCGGACGCTCTAGGCTCCCAAATCTAACAACCTGAGCAGAGGCAATGTCCACAAATCTCTTGCTTTCCTACCCTCAGGATGTCAACTGATCTTGTTCCATACCGTCAAGGGCCTTCAAAAGACTGGGTGTTTTAATATTGTAACCGCTTAAAGTCCTTCCACACAGCAGATCAGGGATGGATGTGGTGTAAGTCACTTTTTTGGCCAGTACGTCTCTTATTTAGCTTTGCATTTGGGGAGTCACAGATCTCTAATAAAATATTTAGATTTCCCATGTACTCTCAAGCAGCTCTCAGAGGGGGTGGGAGGGTACCGACTGTGCCCGCGCCACCACCTTGTTTCTAAATGAGCGCGGCCGGAGCCACACTTGGTAGTTTTCCCATTTTCATGGGTTTTGTTTGGTTGCTGTTGTCGGGCTCCTACATTCCACTCACATCCAGGCCCCAGAATGCTGATATATCTGGTGCCTGCAATAGCGGCCAGATTTGTCCAAAACAGGAAAATTCCTGGCCCACGTGGCGCACACAACATCGTAATTTAAACCATAAAAAATCTAGTTCCGGAGAAGGATTTCTTCAGAGGATTCGTTCCGCGTCCCGAACAAGAGCGGGGCGGTGCCTCTCCGCTAGGGCAGGGACAGTCGCGCGGGGCCTCCCCATGACCCAATCGGCCAGAGAGGGCGCAGCGGTGCCGAAGGCCGCCTGGAGCCCTGTGCTGCGGCGCACGCTCACCTCTCAGCGGCGCGGGGTTGATGCCGCGCTCCGGAGACTCGCCGGGGGCCAACAGCGCGGCGCTAAGCACCGACGCGGCCAGCAACAGCGCGATCAGCACCCGGCCCGCGCCTGCTCCTCCGCTCATGCTGCCCGCCGACGCTGCCAATTCAGGCCGCCGCTTCCGCTCCGGCGACGCCTGGGCAACCGCTCCTCTGCCTTCGCCGCGGCGCGGCTCTTGCCCTACACTCCCCGGCGAGCCACCGCCGCCGCGCTCCTCTGCCCTGCGCTTCTCCGCAGCGGACGGCCGCGCGCCAGTCATCGCCTCCCCCTCCGATGCCGTCACCGCTGCCGCCTGAGTCACCCGCTGGCAATGGGGAGGGTGGAGGGGATGGGAGGGGTGTACAGGACAACGAGAGCTGGGGGCGGTACCGAGCGGTGGGAGGGCGCGAAGGGCTGGGTCCCGCGTCTGGGGCGGACCACTCTAGGCCCTGCCCAGGGCAACGCTTTCTACTTACTCATTGCACAAAGTTAGTTTATTTTGCTCTCGTAGAAAGAAACGTGTTGCAAGGCCTCCTGCCAGCCCCCTCAGTGTCCCCTCACCGTTTCTCTGTGCAAAATTCTAATAAGTTCCTGCATCCAGCCATTCACCAAGCAAATGGGTGTTAGAGCACTCTGCCCTATGCATTGTTTTTAAAATGTCAGTGATAACTAGACTGGCAGTCTCTGCCAGCATGGCGTTTACTATATGGAGGGGAAGACCCAATTTAGATAAACCACTTTGGAGAGTTCGTTGTCACCCTCAAACAAATGACCCCCAAATACACTTCTAGCTATATGTCTGGAGAAAATCTCACTCATGTACAATAATGTTTGTAGCAGCATTGTTTGAAATTACAAAAACTTGTAAAGAATCTGAATGCCCATCCATGGGAAATGGACACGTTGTGGTATGCTATATATTGCTGATAGGTGCTGTCGAGTTGGTTCCGACACAGCGATCCTGGATAGGGTTTGCAAAGAGCCACTGGGTTAGCAGTCCAATGCTTATCCTACAGCGCCACACCAGGAAAATCACAACTTTTGCATTATGAACACAGAAAAAGTACTCTATCCCACAACACTAGAAGCCATGTTAGAAATGGATGCACTGTTACAGAAAATCTTAGTTATGGAATCCAGGTATTGCGCTGTAGGATAAGCACTGAACTGCTAACCAAAAGGTTGTGAAGTGCCATTGAGTCGGTTCCGACCCATAGAAACCCTGCATAGGGTTTCCGAGGAGCAGCTGGTGAGCTTGAACCACCGACCTTGCAGTTCAAACAGCTTTGCAGTCTGGCACATTAACCCACAGCGCCACACCAGTAGGTGGTTTGATCTCAAACCCACCAGCTACTCTTTGAAAACCCTATACGGGGTCATTTTGAGTTGAAATTCACTAGACAGCACTTAATAACAACAAGTTTAAACTGGAGTACTGGTGTGGCGCTTTAGGAGCACTGGATTGTAGGATAAGCACTAACCTCAAGGTTGGCAGTTCAAACCCACCGGCTACTCCTCAGGGTCTCTATGAGTCAGAACTGACTCGAAAGTCACTTAACTATAACTGCATGCTTTAAACTATAACCTTTGGAAGTTGTTTTGATCCACATGCAAATATCCTCCTTTTTGAAATTTCACTTTATACCACACCCCATTTATGAAAGATCTACATTAGTGTCTGTTTTCCCTAAGAAATCTGAAGAGTATTTTTGATTTACCAAAAAGGACAATGTCATTTGTTTTACAGTGAATCATTAAAGAGGCAGCTGGAACCCCTAGCAGTAGTGGTATTTCTAAGCTTTTTCCTGGGAACTACACACTTGCATTCATCTCAGTATCAAGCTACCATAGCTAAATGAGACCATGAACACTATGTTAGTGTTACTTTTGGTTTTATGTATTATTTGGAATGATTTGGTAGGTTACTTTGGGGAACTGGGAACACTCAATATTTTTCCCATATGAAAACCCAAACCCAGCTATGAGTTGATTCCACCTCATAGTGCTCCTATAAGACAGAAAAGAACTGTCCCAACTCAAAATAGAGTTGACCATGATGACAATAATAGAGTAACGCTTCCTAAACCCACATTTGTGGATAGGGCACAATGCAAAATGAGGACAAACAACTATGTTGTTGTTGTTAGGTGCCATCGAGTCGGTACCAACTCTCATAGCAACCTTATGCACAGCAGAACGAAACACTGCCTGATCCTGGGCCAACCTCACTACTGTTGCCACACTAGAGTCCATCGATGCTGCCACTTGGCCAGTCCATCTCGTTGGAGGTCTTCCTCTTTTTCTCTGACCCTCCATCTTACCAAACATGATATCCTTCTCCAGTGACTGGTCCCTTCTGACAATAATGTCCAAAGTATGAGAGACGGAGTTTAGCCATCTTGGCCTCCAAGGAGCATTCTGGCTGCACTTCTTCCAAAATGGATCTATTGGTTCTTTTGGCAGACCATGGCACTTTCAATATTCTCCTCCAACACCATAACTCAAAAGTATCAGTTCTTCTATGATCTTCCTTATTCACTGTCCAGCTTTCGCATGCATATGAGGTTATTGAAAATACCATGGCTTGGGTCAGGCACACCTTAGTCCTCAAGCTGACATCTTTGCTCTTCAACGCTTTAAAAAGCTTTTGTGCAGCAGATTTGCCTAATGTAATACGTCTTTTGATTTCTTGACTGCTGCTTCCATGAGTGTTGATAGTTGATCCAAGAAGAATGAAGTCCTTGACAACTTCAATCCTTTCTCCATTGATAAGAATGTTGTTTATTGGTCCAGTAGTGAGGATTTTTGTTTTCTTTACATTGAGATGTAATCCATACCTAAGGCTGTGATCTTTGATCTTCATCAGTAAATGTTTTAAGTTCTCTTCACTTTCAGCAAGCAAGGTTGTATCATCTACATATCCTCCAATACTAATGCCACATTTTTCTTTATATAACCCAGCTTCTCGGATTATTTGCTCAGCATACAGGTTGAATAAGTATGATAAAAGAATACAACCTTGTCACACACCACTCATCTGTCAGTTTGTCGTACTGTGGTAGCTTGTGAGTTGCTGTGATTCTGAAAGCTATATCACTGGTATTTAAAATACCAGCAGGGTCACCCATGGTGGACAGGTTTCAGATGAGCTTCCAGACAAAGACAGACTAGGAAGAAGGAGTGAGGAACTACTTCCGAATATTTAGTCACTGAAAACCTTATGAACAGCAGAGAAACAAACAACTATAAACATCCATTAATAATCGGACCATGGAATGTACAAAGTATGATTCTAGGAAAATTAAAAGTTGTCAAAAATGAGGCACAGGGGCAGGAAGGAAAGTGGTGCCCTGCTGACAATATGGGTCCCTCTGCATTTCTGTGCCCTTCTCTCGCCTGCTGGCTGGAGGTCCAGCTTCCTAATGATTTTTCAGCGAGGTCAAAATTCTATGTTTGAGAGCCGCCAAATAGCAAACCTGATTGGCTGAAGGTTGAACTGATCTTGGCTAGTTCAGCCTTCCTGTGGGTCTTCCTATGCATCAAAAATCATAAAAGATGTTTTAGAGTATAAAAGAATTAATGGGTTGGAGTAAACTATTGAAATACTAATAAAGTCCTGGTGTGGCACTGCAGGACAATGCACTGGACCAAAAAGTCAGTTTGAACAGCAAGGTTGGTGGTTCAAACTTACCAGCCGCCCCTTGGGAACCCTATACAAGGTTGCTATGAGTCAGAATTGACTCTATAGCATTTATAAAAATAATAATACAATGACTACAGCAGTTCTGAATTCACCAATTTTTTTTTATAGTAAGTGGGAAAGGAAGAAGTTATATGTGAATATATAGTCTCAATATTGTGTGTTGCATCATTAAGTGGAAAAATAAAAGTTTCTGTAGTCTTTAGATATTACATATTATGATAACTTGCAGAGAATGTTAATTTTAAGGTATATTAGAAATATTTCAATATGAAAGGAACATTGTGTTAAATGTTCATATTGAAAAATGTAATCAACAAAGTACAATATAAAAAAGAAAAGAAATGGAATGAATAAAGATCAGTATTATAGGCATTAGTGAGCTAAAATAAACAGGTATTGGCCATTTTGAATCTGACAATAATAGTTTACTATATCAGGAATGACAAATTGATGAGAAATGGTGTAACATTCATTATCAAAGAGAACATTTCAGGATCTATCTTAAAATACAATGCTGTATAGTGTAGGATAATACCAATATGCTTACAAGGAAGACCAGTTAATACCACTATTATTCAAATTTATGCACCAAGAATTAAAAGTGAGTGATGATGAAATTGAAGAATTCTAACAACTTCTTCAGTCTGAAATTTCTTACTATCAAAATGTATTGATAATTACTGGTATATACATGCTATCAAGATGTATTGATAATTACTGGTAATTAGAATGTGAATGTGGAAACAAAGGGGAAGGATCAGTAGTTGGAATATATGGCCTTGGTGATAGAAATGATGCTGGAGATTGCATGGGAGAATTTTGCATGACCAATGACTTAGTCACACTAATATCACATGCAAGTAAAATTTTGCTAAAGATAATTCAAAAACATCTGCACCAGTACATTAACAGAAAACTGTCAGAGGTTCAGGCCAGATTCAGAAGAGGATGTGGAACGAGGGATAATCATTGCTGCTATCAGATGGGTTTTGGATGAAAGCAGAGAATACCAGAAAGATGATTACCTGTACTTTATTGATTTCATAAAGGCTTTAGATTGTGTGGATCATGACAAGCTATGGACACCATTGTGGAGAATGAGTTTTCCGGAACACTTAATAGTGCTCATAAGGAACCTATACATAGATCAAAAGGCAGTTCTTTGAACAGAACAAGGGAACACTGAATGGTTTAAAATTAGGAAATGTAAGAGAACAAACAAGATGGTGGATTGGGTAGAAGTGCAGTGAGGAGCTCCACCAGCAACAACATAGAATACCGGACCAAGTAGGCTCAGGGGATGGTACCAGAACTCTGAACCACATATAAAAGAATATTTAGAAGATTGGAAGGTATACAGCTAGGGGAATTTGTAGCAGAAACAAGAAATCTATTGCTTTCTA